TTTTTACTGTCCCTTTGAGAGGTGTCAGAGTCACAACTTCTGAACATGAGCTCTCTGAAGTTTCAGAAGGGTCATCTGAGTTCATAATCTCTGTGAGGCTTCTTATCAGTTTCAAACACAGATGCCTGGGATCCTTTTCTTTATGGGGGTTTATTGTGTCAGGGAATGGTAGGCCATAGCTCTTATGGCCACAAAGCCCTCTTAATTAAGTGATTCAGGTACTTTTCTAAAGGCATGCCCTTACCTGATCCACCTCTGGAGCTGCTGAAGTTCCAACTGCATCAGAAGCTGCATAACTTACAGACAACTGGAACTTGCTTGATCTTAGGTATTAAATTAACCTTAGGAGGAAGGCTCGCATTAAGAGTTACAACTCCAGGGAGAAAGAATGAATGACTCAAGAAATTATGGGCTACAGAGCTTCTTTTTTTTTAAACCTCTGGGTCACTTGTTCAAACCCAGCCAAGGTCAGTAGTGACTGAAATTTGTTACCTAACAGGCCTTGTGGTGGCCCGTGTCAAAGGAGTTGATGGTGTCCTTCTGGTAGCAGCTGGCACCCTTCTTGCTAGTTTTAGCACAGTGGACAATGATTGAATAGCCATGGAGACGGCGCTACTTAACAAGCTATAGAGACCTCCAGGTCAAAGTTGTGAAGGCACTCTGTTAGGGTGGAGTGAGGAAGGTTGAACTACTGTTTTGGGTACTATGCGGGTAGATAATGGACTTCAGCTCCTAGTGAGGAAAATTAGGTACCTTTCAGAAGTATTGATTTCACTTTAAAGTGGTACTTATTCAAATTGTTCATATTTTCCTCCTCAGAGTTTAATGGATCACTTGCTTTTTTAAGCTGCCTACACTATGCAAAAATATTCTACAGATAAACCAAATAGAGCTCATTCCTGCAACTGCTGAGGTCAACATCACCTTTTGTTGTGGAATTGAAAATGTAGCATTTTGTTTGTTTTTGATAAGGGTGTTTTCTGGAATAATCAATAAAATGCACTTTGAATTTGGCTATCTTTTTATGTAATGGTTGATTACTTTTTCTTTGCAATTTTATTTTACTGCATTCATGCAGTCTTTATTGCATATGACCACTATTATGGGATAATATATAATAACAATTATAATAGTTTTTATACAACACTTTTCTTTGGTAGATATCAAAGCACTTTACAAAGATGGTCAATGTCATTTGCATTTTACAGATGGGGAAACCGAGGCAGAAAGCAATATATTAATTTACCTAAGACCACCCAGCTGGACAATAATAGACTCAGAAACAGAATCCAGGTTTCCTGAGTCACAGGCCAGTGCTCTGTCCACTTGGAATTAAAATCTCTTTTGATTAACATAAGTATACATTCCACTGGTTATCAAGCAAAGTCTATATATAGTAACTTAACAGCAAAAAGAGCTCCCTTAGTTTTGACTGTAGACTAAAATTCTGTTGTGGCTTTATTTAATTAATGTATTTAAATATTTATATTTATTTGTTTGTTTTTACCAGTACAGGTCTTTATATCTTTATTTTCCTCTCAGAGACTACTTTTTAAATAATTAATTACACGTGTCTTACTAAAATATATGGCATTTTAGACTATTTAAACAATATTTTCTTCAGGGGCATAATACATTAAAATAAATTATCATTGTTATTACTACTATTACTACTACCGAATAAAATCTACTATATATTTGAGAGAGTTTGTCTGTCTGTCTGTCTGTTTGTGAGTCTCTTTATTTAAATAGTAAAAGCTAGAACCACCAAATTTGGTATGCAGCTTCCTTTTATCATAACTTAAAGCAAAATAAGGGTTTGGTTGTGCCAGAACAATGGGATCTGCTTGGAATGTGATTGTTTCTCATACAATGGAAAGGAAGGGGTCTGCTAGCAAGAACAGTTAAACTGTATATAACCACAGGGGGGCAGCAAAAGGCCAGAGATGGGGGCCAGGACAGCTATAATCCCATTGGAGCAACAGGGGTTAAGGGTAGAGAACGGGACAGCTATCTACTATATATTTGAGAGAGTTTGGCTGTCTGTCTGTCCCACAGTCAGGGGACATGCACCCCCCGCCCCCCGGCTGTGCCCTCTGTAGCTTCAGCAGCCAGAAAGAGGCATTTCTCCATGCTGCTGCAGTGACAGAGGGCTGGGGTTGTCCTTTCCCCAGGCAGCCTGCATACTGAACCCCTCATCTCCAGCCCACCCCAGAGCACTGTTTTAAATGAAGAAAAACAAAAAATATTTCATTTAAGGACCCAAGCAACACTGGGCAAATCCTCTAGTTTTATATATGGAATACATTTGCTTACAGCTCTTAGATCCTGATCTTGCAAACACTTATGCATTGCTTAAGTTTAAACATGTGGGTAATTCCATTGAGTCAAATAGTTTTACAGTATTACAGTTAAGTATGAGCCTGAGTGCCTGCAGGTTTGGTTTTTTAGCATCCACTTTAAATTATAATTTGTTTAGTCTTTCACAACATGTTGCATTCCAGAGAAACATATGATAGTTATCTAGTGGTCATAGTAAGTCATCTAAATTCCTATGAGCATTAAATGTGAACTACAAATTAAAGGGAGATGATGCAAATATCATGATAGCTCTAACTGAAAGCAATTAAACAACAAAACAATGAGTGTTTTCTTTGACAGACCCCGTTCACTCATGCACTTATGCATATGCTTTACTTATTTAAGGATGTGAATAGCCTCATATTGAAGACACTGAGGGCATAACTTCACTTGCAGTGCCAGAGATCAACCTGCAAATTGAATGCCGAAGGCAGTTCCGGCCGGTGTCTGTACTCCCAGTCGCAAGGGGTAAGGGAAGTCAACAGGAGCGTTTCCTCCCTTTGGCCATCCGCAGTGGGGATGGTGCCAAGATTGGCTTAAAGTAAGCTAACTCCAGCTATGTACGTTGCATACCTTAAGCCAATCTTCCAGGTCTAGTGTAGACCTGGCCTCAGAGGATGAATTCAAGGGGACTACTCATGCTTAAAATAAGGCATTTAAGTAAGTGGAACCTTAGTTATTTCCCCCTGTAGTTTGGGCTAGTTTTTACACAATAGGAAAATAACTTTTTAAAAAATAGACAAACTTTGGCATTTGGTGCAAAATGACAGGGTAGTACCTGAAACCTGTTTTCACATATTTTATGAGACTTAAGTTCAGAGTAATGGTATTTCTTTAAGCACATAAAATAAGCATATGTGCTTTTGTCCTGTATCACTCTTTTATGTTGTTTAAACACGACTGAAGTTTTAATGCTCTCAAGTCCTTTCAAAGGATTCTACACACCTCTGCTTGGGACTGAAAGACTGATGGCACTGCAAGAGAAAGAAGCAATCTGACAAGTAAACAGAGCCTTTCCCCATTTGCTTTAACCTGTTTCAAAGACTATATGCAGGGAAAACCAGGTACCAACAGATGGAGAGAAACTGATCAGAGAGCTTCTAAATATTGCTAGAGAGCAATAATCTTGTGTGCCAACATAAGCTAGGTGAAACCAGGCCTGGGAGCTTTCAGAATGAAATTACGTCAGGACTCTGGCACATCTGGGTGGCTGTCCCTAATTTATCCTAGTTTACAAAAGAACTCCAAGATCAAACTTCTCTGCTTTCAAGAATGGTTTCATGAAACATTCTTTTTCTCACTGTTTGAGGTAGGAGAAATTGAATTTGTTTTAAACTCTAATAACATTCATTCCCAGTTTTGTACACTTTGAGTATCAGTGCCTTCCTTGTGGTTTCCCAGATTCATCAGGACTTTGTACCCTTGAACTCGTCAATCCTCATCAGTCCTTAGTTGGACTTTTGTATGACAAAATCTATAAAACAGCATTGAAAGAAAATGACTAGCAATTTAAATTAATGCAGTTAAACATGACCTAGTCAGAATGGTTAATTCTCCGACTTCTTAACTCTGTTCCTATTGTCAATAATCCTCAAATGGTTGTTCTGAATGGAGAGGGAGATTAAGGCCCCAAAATTCTAATTCAGAAGGGTGGGAGGATAAAGGTTCAAAACAGGGGTTTTTTTGGGGTGAGGGTTGTTTTGCTTAAATTGACCATTGCAATAACTAACCCTTTTCAGTTGTGACTACTCTGTGCTTTTCTACAGTGGTGCCTTTTATTTGTAAAATAATCTGGAGCCGATCTTGATTTGCAGACACAGTTACTTATGGATTACTGTGTTTTATCGCCTTTGAGCTACAGAATGCAGCCTCAGCCCAGAACTCAGACTTTGATGGATTTTGCTGTTTCCGAGTTCTCCCATGCCTTCGTTTCAAATCCCTGCCTGAGTTACTGCGAAGCTGTTTGTTAGCCTCACGCTGACACAAAAAGCGACGTAGTTTCAAATTGTCCATTGCAAAATAACAAATAGGTTACATTGCACAGGGAAGGAAGCACTCCTTGCACAAGAGGGGTTCCTTGAATTCCCCAGCGTGGTGCCTATAGCATTGATTTCTTCATACACTAGACGGCAGTAACTAATTCATTTGCTCCCTCTTTTACTAGCCAGCCTTGGTCTGTGAAAAGGCGCTGTGATTGTCTGTGACAACTCCTCTCTTTTATCTATGGTTGGAGGAACAGCCTGCCTGACGCTCCTCGCTGAAAAACATGCCCGGACCAAGCATGTAGGCCGATCCCTGAATTCACCAATCACGTCTCCCAAAATTTGGGGGCGGGTCAGGACTACGTATTGCTGCCTCCCGTCCAGCAGCGGGTTTGAGTGCGCTGGTATAGCAGTGTTCGCTATGCTGCAGCTAAGCTTTGCTCTGACCAGACACGTTTTGCTGAGGAAGAAAATTTTAGCATCTTGTAAGAGGCCTGCTGTATTCATGTCTACTTTGCTGATCAACCAGCCTCAGTATGCGTGGTTGAAAGACCTGGGACTGAAAGAAGAAAATGAAGGAGTGTATAATGGGAAATGGGGAGGAAGAGGAGAGGTAGGTTGTAGCTCGGGAACTCTGACCGATGGCACTGATCAAGCGTGCCTGACTTTTTAGATTAGGAAAAGGGAGCTGCTGCCCAAATCCGGAGGCGTCTGAAATCAGTGTGCTGCGCAAAAAAGGAAGAAAAGTATTAATTATGTTGCAATCGGGCAGCTTTGACACCTTGTTAATCTGTTGTTTCCGTGCAAAATTAAACTTATTTTTTTCTCCGTGGGAGAGGAAAGTAGAAACCTTTGCCTGCCCTATCCTCCCCTTTCTTCCCCCGTTACAGGCTTTCTGAAGTGAATAAGTCACTAGGGTTGAACAATCACAAGTTTGTATGTGGCAATCTGTTTAAGATCCAGCTTTTGGTATGTATTATTTGTCTCACCTTTCTTAGGGCAATGTTATCTCGTTGCATCTAATCGGTCTCTGCAAGTTTCTCTCCCACCTGAGATCTCCTTGGTTGTTGCAATTTTTTCATGCTTGGTGCTTACTTTTTTGGGGTATGTGTTTGCATTATTGTTTCAATTTATTTTTGCATAAATAAGTCACTATGTCTCAGTACCTCAAGTATCATACCCCCTCCATCCACTACATGCACACAAATATTCCTCTCAGTTATGCGTATTTCTAAAGTGACTGTAAAATATTCTCTCTTTAGATTGTGACAACGTATTGCCCAGCTAACAATGAGCCAATTGCAAGGGTGCAACAGGTAAGTGTATCTGATCTTTTTCTGGTGCACGTACCAGGCACATGGTAACGAAAAGCTAATTTGGAAAACAAAAGTTCAGCTCTCTGGTGGGAAGGCCAGTCCCTCCATTTCAGCTGGTGGGAAGGAGAGGGGAAATAGAATTTTGATCAAGTTGCTGTCTCTGGGTCCTTTATACTAGTTTGGCAGTCAGGTGACTGGTAAATGTGAAGCTTCTGGGCAGCTTTTAGAGTGGTCCAATCTCCTCACTGTCTTTTGGGGAGGAGACATTTTTGTTCTTTCTAGTCTTGGAGGTGCTGCAGAGAAGGGGGAGATTCTGCTATCTTCCCTTCCTATAACAAAAAACAGGACTGTGTAGCACTTTAAAGATTAACAAGATGGTTTAATAGGTGATGTCAGCTTTCGAAAGCTCATCACCTATTAAACCATCTTGTTAGTCTTTAAAGTGCTACACAGTCCTGTTTTTTGTTTCAGCTGCACCAGACTAACACAGCTACATTTCTACCATTTCCCTTCCTATAATCTTTCTTTAGGGGGTTGAGGAATGCAAGGGAAGCTCCTATTTTGCTTCTGGTTCCCATCACTTCTGTTCTTAACTTTCTCCCCAGTTACTTGCTGACATGTCTCTTTTCATGGTTTCACTGCATAGCAGCGATGAAATGGAACAAGTGTCTTCACAATTTTAGCTGTCAATCTGTACATGGTGTAATTTGGACAATTTCAGTGCTGGGTTGCTTGACTTCTATCCCTTTTATTACAAAAACAACTTTTAAAATGTATATCTGCATTGTTAGGAACATTTAAAAAAGATGTATTCTTAACACAGGTTAGCTTTGATTAAAATATAATTGAAGACACAGCAGCTCAGCTAACTTGGATTCAAAGGCTGAGTCCAACCAAAGGCGCTTCTACGCTTTAATACATGCTGTTAACCCAAATTAAAAAAGCCAAGTTGCTTTGTCTTTGCTATTGTTTTAACATGAATTATCTAAACGGTCTCATTTTTTTTTCCTTCCGTGTAGAAATGCCCCTAGGCCCAAATTATGCCATTCTGGTCCCATAGGTGAGCACAAACCAGTAGATACAGCATGGAGAAGAGGGGCTGTTAGCCTTATTCCCCCACTCTCCAGGGGTTTCATGCTGAGTGCAAAGGAGAACCTGGGAGGACAGATATTTTGCAGTTCCTTTTATTATTGTTTTATATTATTAGTGGGATTTATGATAATAAAGCAAAATGTCACTAAATATGCAGTGTTTGTTCCTGTGATTATGCGGAATACAGTTGAAGGAAAACTTTATTTAAACCATGAAGTTTGGTGAGGATAGTAGATTTGTTCCCCAGATATAGTTATGATATTAATTTTTTCAATTTAATTTTCATTTCTAGCAAATGTCCTAGCAACTGTCCTATCAGCACAGCTAGAAACCAGTATGTCACACTGTGAACATAATACTTTTCCTAAAGAATGATGCCTCCCAATTCAGCACTGTCCATAGAAAATCCATTCTGCTTGAGTTATGCTCACTGCCTCCTCTGTATTTCAGCTTCAAGCAACAAAAGGAAAGTGACTTTCTGTGTTTTGTTTTCCCCTTGCCCCCACTTAATCCTCATTCATTTAGGCCAACTTGGAGGATTACGAAGAAACAATAAAGAAAGCTAAAGAGGCATGGAAAACATGGGCAGATGTAAGTTGACAAATGATTATGCATATGTTTGGAAGTGTCTCTACACCCCATAAACAACCCTTTTCTGTTGGCAATTTAATCAGGGCCCCATGTCCTGTGTGATATTTTAAATCTAAATTCTGCAGCCAGGAACTCATGATCATACAGCACCATTTCCAAGCCCTCACTGCCCTCCTTGTCCAATATGTTCATTTGATATAAAAAACAAAGCTTTTAAATCTGTCTCCAAACTTTCAGTGTGTGTCAGACATTTGTACTGTAATGCATATTCGTACTATAAAAGCTGTTATAGGGGATTTAAGGAAGTTAGAAGTCTTTAAAGCTAAGTAGGGAAATGGTTAAGGTGTGTGTGAGAGATATGTTTCTTGTTTGGTTGCTTTGTCCACTTCTGCCACCGTGAAGCTGTCCAGGGAGGAGGCTTTAGTATCCAGGAGGGCAAGTGATCAGTGTGGTATTGGGGAAGGCACTAATCTACTTTCCCCTTGGGTAAAATAGATATTGCAATTTTTCTCACTCCAGAAACCTTTTAATGAAAATAGCTGCTCTTATCCCAATAGTAATATATTCAGCAATAATGGATAAATACATCGGCCAAATTGCTGGCTAGTGTAAATCAGCATGTTTATGCCAGTTGAGAATCTGGCTCATCAACTTCCTTTCAGCTGAAATCATCAGCAGTGAAATAGTTAACAAGGTTAACATTTAAAATGCTCTTAGTGGGCTTCAGAAGTGATATGTAGCTGAGTCTGATGTGCTCTCTTTAATATCAACAGAACTGTAATTTCAGACTGTCTGCAGTCTCTGGTTGATATCATTGGAGTGATTACATACAGCTTACATCTTGAAGGTAGTTTTGCAACCAAAAGGATTAGATGGCTTTTTTGGACAGATTAGCTTCTGTAGCACAGCTTGGCAAGACATCTCTTAAAATGGGGAATTGTGTTGCCAACTACTCTGCCACAAAAGTAGATCATATACTGGGCTCTAGACACTGATGGTAGCAAGATGCTCACATCTAACTATGTGAAATCAGGACTAGCTGCACTATAAAGAAGACAAGTAAAAATGCAGTGATCATGATATGTGAGGAATTTACTTTCTAACAGGTCCCTAAAACTCATACCTCTTTGGAAACTGCTTCGGAAAAAGAGAACAGTAATTTGAATTCAGCCAGTGATGGTGTCTTAGCACCAGAATCTGATTAAACCCTTAGTCCTAGGAACAGTTCTGCTTAAGGTCCCTCATTCAGTAAGATACTTAAGTAAATGCCTAACTTTACATTTGAGTAGCCCATTATAGTTAAGAGGAGGAAAGGGGACAAAAATACAGAAACTGGCTGGTATTCCCTGAAGGTGCAGTTTAGTCTCTAAACCAATTTTTTTTCTAGGTTCCTGCACCTAAACGTGGAGAAATAGTGAGACAAATTGGTGATGCCTTAAGACAGAAAATCCAAGTTCTGGGAAGCTTGGTAAGATGTCCTGAAAAACATCCACACATTTGAAAAAGTCAAAATTATGTTTTCCTTTGGTTTTAATGTAGGTCTGTGTAATTAAGTGAGAAATTATGTTAGTCTTAATAACTGTGGAGTACTTTGATTTTTGCTAAAAATCTGTGTAACAAGATTTTTTTAAGTACATGTAAGGTAGCATTTGTGGTGCTCTATTTTAAGAATAATGCCACTTCATTTTAGTGTTTTAAGCGATTCCATCACTATTCCAAAGCTCCAGTTTGGATCAGGTTTTTTTTTTTTTACATCCGCTGCTCCTTCTCCCTTTCTCCTTTTACGAGTTTACAAATCTGTATTTATTGTTACATGTTTCTAATTGTGGAGACCACAGCCTCAGTTTTTTTTAAAGACAGTTTGTGTATAGGAAGTAGGTCATAATATTAATTCATAAATCAAGGATGGGGTTTAGGAAAAGTGTTCAGAATGAGTTTAGTTAATCAGCTGGCTCCCATAGGAACCAGTCATCAAATTCTCAGTGATTTAAATCAAGTCAGAAGATAGCACATCAGGGGAAAACTCCCCCTCCATGCCTCTAATTTACAAACTGGCTTAAAATTACAGTAAGCTCACAATCACACTGTCATCTCCAGGTTCTTCCCTTCTCTTAAGAGCTTTGTCCTCCACATACCTATCAAATCAGGAAAAATGTAAGTGATTCTGAAACACTGTCCCCTTTCCAAACAAACTCTGTTGTAACTATGCTGCTTTCCCATCTTTCTGTGAGACAGCACACTGTTACTAAAATAGTCCTGAAACAAGACTTCCTGTCATACAGAGCTAAATTCTTGCTGGTGGGCTGAAATTTTGAGAACTAAAATGTGGAGAACTAAAGATTTAGAAGGTGAGATGGTGTGTGAAAGGATCCCAGTAAGTGCTGGTGCAGGATATAAAGTTCGGGATTGCTGCTTTAACACCTGTGTTAGTTGTCAAAGAATTCTTATTCAGGTTAAATATGCTTTAACACCTGTGTTAGTTGTCAAAGAATTCTTATTTAAGTACTGTAGTTAAAAAGAGCAAAGTTTTATAGCTTTTCTTTGCTCTTGGACCATCAGACAGTTTCCATGACGAAATTAGGGTGCTAGGTACATATGTGTTTAAGCAGAGTTCTGTTTTCCTGGCTAATATGGACACTCAGAGGTCTGAAAAATGTGTCAGAGACATTATGTTTCATCTCCTAAATATATGAAGTTATTATACGGTTCTCAACCTGGTGAGGGGAAAAAAATGCTAGAACCCTGTTTGAAATCTATGGATACTTTTAAACAGGAGATGATTATAATGGTATCTGGGGGGTATCTGGATCTATAACTGTTCCTAATGGGGGAGATGATTATAATGGTATCTGGGGGGTATCTGGATCTATAACTCTTCCTAATGGGGATGCCCCTCCCTAGTAATTTCAAACTTCCACTCCTTGCCTTGGGCGAACCCTCTTTCAGCCTTTCAGGAGGAATTTCATCCAGAAATCACTCCAGATACAGGTGAATGTTGATGGATTTAAAAAAAGAAAAAGTTCCAGTGTTCCTCCAACATCTGTCCCTTAGTCACAGATGAGGGCACCTCTTTTCTCTTGTGTGGCTGTTCTTAAGTGCAGTGTGGTGCAGATTAGGGGTGTTAAAATGTGATTGATTAAACGTGTAATGGCTGAAAATTCCAGTCAGATCTAACCCTTAAATCCAGAGTTCAGATTTCTACCCTGTTGTGTCCCTGGAGCAGTAGCAAGTGCCCTGTTCACCAACCTGCACTGTCCCATTTGATATAATTCCAGATGGGAAATTATTGGTTCAAATGGAGAATATGGGGATTTAATATGAGGACTGAAAGGTGGATATGGAACTGGTTAAAGGGGAGGCTGCTACAGGTCCTAATGTAACTTCCCTCCAGTCTGTTGCTAGTAGAGTTCCTCAAGAATTGGTTTTGGAAACAATCTTAATTTTTTTACTGACCTTGGCATAAAAAGTGCATGTGTGCTAATAAAATGTGCAAGTAATACCTCCCAGTTTCCTATCTCCGATATGGAGGAGGACCAGAGCATCATACAAGGTCATCCAAGTGATTTTGTAATAGAAATGGGTTGATATTAAATAGTGAAAATTGCAAGGTCATGCATTTAGGGACTAACGACATTTTTTGCTATAAATTGGAAGCGACAGAGGAGCAGAAAGACCTGAGTGTATTGATAACTCTTTGACATGTCTGTGAAAAGGGCTAATGCAGTCCTAGAATGCATCAGGTGAGTTATTTCCAGTAGAGACAGGGAAGTGTTTAAACACTGAATCAAGACACTGGTGAGATCTTATCTAGAATACTGTGTGCAGTTCTAGTCTCCTATGTTCAAGAATTCAAACTGGAACAAGTGTAGAGAAAGGCTCCTAAGATGATTTAAAGAATGGAAAAACCTACCTTATAAAGGAGACTCAAAGATCTTGGCTTATTTAGCCTAACCAAAAGAAGGCTGAGGGGAGATATGATTACATATAGAGGGATAAATGTCTGGGAGAGAGAGGAGTTATTTACATTAATCACCAATGTGGACACAAGAACAAAATGGATATAAACTGACCATCTACAAGTTTAGGCTTGAAATCAGATAAAAGTTTCTAACTATCAGAGGAGTGAAGTCCTAGAATAGCCGCCTCCAGCTGAGCAGAGGGCCAAAAAAACCTAGCTGGATTCAAAACTGATCTTAATAAGTTTGAGGGGATGGTAGGATGACTCTGCCTACAACGGCATGTCGCTGATTTGCAACTATTATCTGTAATATCTCCAGACAGCTTGTGATCAGGCACTAGATGGGGAGGACACTGAAGGAACGTCTACACTGTAATGCTATTTCAAAATAACTAGCACTATTCCTTATTTTGAAATAGTGTCAAAATACTGTCAAGCTAGAGGACTTCTTACTCCAACTCCAGTAACCCTCATTGTACGAGGAATAGGGGAAGTCGGAGGAAGAGTGCTTGATTTCGAAATAGATGCTCCCTATTTAATGTAGCTCAATTTGCGTAGCTTATTTCAAGTTAAGCCCTGCAGTGTAGACGTATCCTGAGTTACTACAGAGAAATGTTTCTTAGTTGTCTGGCTGGAGGGTCTTGCCCATATGCTCAGGGTCTGACTGACTGCCCTATTTGGGATTGGGAAGGAATTTTCCTCCAGTTCAGATTGGCAGAGACCTTGGGAATTTTTTTTTGCCTTCCTCTGCAACATGGGGCACGTTTAAACTAGTGTAAAGGATGGATTCTCAGAAATGTGTAGTCTTTACACCATGATCTGAGGATTTAAGTATGTCCGTCACAGGTGATTTGTATGTTACAGGAATATGCAGAGGGTAAGGTTCTATGGTCTGCAACATGGTGATCAGACTTCATGATCATGATTGTCCCTTCTGGCCTTAAAGTCAGAGTCTAAAAAGTGATGTCCTGTGTGTTCTTAATGTTGTCAGGTCTCATTAGAGATGGGAAAAATTCTTGTCGAGGGTGTTGGCGAAGTTCAGGAATATGTTGATGTCTGTGACTATGCTGTTGGTTTATCCCGAATGATTGGTGGACCTGTCTTGCCTTCAGAAAGTAAGATGTATTAAAATCTGTATTAATAAAGTGCCAGATATTGAGATCTTTCTGTATTACTGCACCATGGATTACATATTGCTGCAATTTACCACATTTCTGTCTGCTGTTGTGACTTTTCTGATCTACATGAAAACCTATTGTGGTGCTACAGAGTGCATCCATTCTTGTCTCAATTAGGGTATGTCTACACTACAACGTTAATTCGAACTAACTTAGTTCGAATTAGTTAATTCGAACTAAGCTAATTCGAACTAACGGATCCAGACTAAAAAACTAGTTCGAATTAGCATTTTGCTAATTCAAACTAGCATGTCCACATTAAGTGGACCCTGAACCGGCTTAAGGATGGCCGGAAGCAGTGCCGGCAGGGCATCAGAGGAGGACTTAGAAAGTGGAGATGCTTTCTCAGGCTAGCCGAGGGCTGTGCTTAAAGGGTCCCCACCCCCACCCCGGACAGACAGTTCTCAGGGGTGCCCCGCTTGCAAAGCAGTCCTGGCTTGGAGTGCCCAGACTACCCACACTGGGCACATCACACCACTCGGCCATCAGCCTGGCTGCACTTGCCGCAGGCTGCCATCTGGGGAGAGGGGCCAATTGGGGGGCTGCAGGAGAGCTTCCACCCCAAAAGCCC